AATTCATACAGGGTTGAATGGTACCAACAAAGGTCTTTGAGGCTGATGTTTCCTAGTGGTGGTTTCAGATAAATGCATTTATAGATACATTTTTCAATGTACATTGTATAAGATATGTCCAGTGTGTCATCTCATTGTGAGGATTTTCTACCATGTCTCTTTTTTGTACCCCTTTCTTTCCCATTCTCACTTTCATTATCAGGCAACAATATGTTCACTCCATTGAGACTCTCAAGTGAAGGTAAAACTTCCTGAGCTTTTCACAGATTTTGCTGTTTCCTGACCCCTGAAATGTCAGTCATTGTGTTTCTAAATTTGCATTACTATATTTGGGTCTGCATTCATAGCCTAAATTGGCATTTCAAAACGAAAAATGAATATTAATATATGCTCCTCAACTCAGAGCACATCATCCTGCAAAACAAATGAATGGTGCCAATTCAGGCAATCTATTGTTTAATCTTGTGTCATACAAATATTGACTCTTCTTATAATGCAGTATCATTACCAAAGAGAATCCACAGCACTTAAGATTCGCGAAGTATCACAGAAGTCTCAGCACACTTTATTAACATTCCTCGACAAAACACTGTTGATGGCATTTCATTCATATTTTAAAATCCTCTCTGATTTACTTAGCTAAATCTCTATGCACTCTCTCTAATTCTTTATTAACTACAAATTTCCTTTATATCCTAGTAGGGTTTCAAAAATAGTATTCAGATGGGAAAGCCTATTGAAAATTATTTGTTTAGTTATTCCCATGTTGCTTTTGTGAATTACTGTGGTATACATAAACCTATTTTAAAACAAATTATGTATTTAACCACACTAGATGGGTATGATGGCTATTTTGTATAACTCGTGGCATTTTAAATTATTGAATTTATTTCATTTTAAATTATATTACTTAAAAGTGTTCTACAACTCAGAAATTAAATACAAAATAAAGCCAAATTAAACTAATAGAAAAATAAGTAGTCTATGTGAATTCATTGGCCTCTAAAACATGTAAATTAGAAGACAGGAAAACAATTCCGTTGTCCAGTGGTCTGACCAGAGTCTTCCACCATGATCATTACTCCATTTTCTTATTATATAGATGACAAAATACTAGCCCATGCCCTAGTGTCCTAGTGTGAAAAAGAATGATATATTTTTTAAATAAAATGAAATGTTTTAGTTATAAGATCTACCTTTAAATGACTTACAAGATAGGGCTCATTTTCACTTTCAAAATATGATTGAAGTTATTCCAGTTGGATTTGCTTTCCTTTCCTTTTTTCCTGTGATAAAATACCATGAGTGAATGCATCTTAAGAAAAAAAATAATTTATTTAGCTCAGTGTTGTAGTTCGTCATCAGGGAAACAAAGAAAAGATTCTGAAAGCAAGAACTGAAGCAAAGACCATGGAGGAATGGTGCTTACGGACTTGTATCCCCTAGCTTGGTCAGCCAGCTTTCCTACATAGCCTAGGCCCACCTGCCTAGGAATGGCACCACCCATACTAGATTGAGCTGTTCTACTGCAACTAGCAATCAAGAAAGTGTCCTGTGGAAATACCCATAGATCAGTCTGATACAAGCAATTCCTTAATTGAGTTTCATCTTCTCCAATGTGTCAAGTTAACAGCAAAGATTATCCACTAGAGGCATTAGATATGAGTACATATTCTGGAGTAATAGCAGAAAACAGTGCTGTACAAAGGGACAATAGCTTGTGGGAAGGAGCAAAAGAAAGGCGGATATCAGAGTACAAGTGATCTGGATTGGGAAATGGTTGAAAGAAGATAAAGGGGTTCTAATTATGAAAGAGTGAGACTTAAATACAGAAAAAAAAGGAGGAAGATAATATAACAGTAAAGATGTCTGAAAAACTCATAAGAAATTTTATTACTATCTACCTTTAAAATTCCCAAAATATATTTATGTTAGTACATAAGTATATGTATATAAGTTAAATGAAATTTTTCTATCTGGGCAGACAATGATCACCATCTCATGAGCCAAAGGCTAAAAAAAGCCTCAATACAAATCATAAGAATCCCTCTTTTAAGTTGTTGGTCAGAACTGTCCAAGAGACTCCTAAAACATAGCATGCTATTGCTACTACCCTTGGTTGCACACAGTGGTGGAAGTCAGACCCTGTTGTTTAAGGAAGCATGCATTTCAGACACATGGTCCAGAGGCCTCTAAGCTGTAAGTACTCTGGAAGCCTCCTTTCTAGAGACTAGCTTCCATGATACCAGAAGATACCACACAAGCTTTGGAAAGAGGGTAGCAAGCACAGTAACAATGACATGAGAGCAAATACAACAGCTCACAAAACACAGTCAAGTGGACCGAAAGACCTGAAGGAATGAGCATATCCCTTCCCTAGGTCATCCAGATTTGCAAATGACTTCAAATCAACCTGGTTTGCTTTACTACAAAAAAAAAAAGATTTTAAAAGCAAATGAGTCAGGCCTGTAGTAAATGGAATCATTTGAGAGCATTTGAGAGATATGTAAACAAGAGAAGTCTAACCAGGAAAGAAGGAAGAGAGATGAGAGGGGGGAGCTCATAAGAAAGAGAGATAAAAATGCAAATAAATCATAAGGAGTAAAGAATCAGAGAAAGCCCCAACTGCAGACATACTCTGGCATAATCGTTTCTGACACTCAACAGTTGCCAAGATACACTTTAAACTTATTAAGTGCTGTTTTGCCGTCACTTAAACATCCTAAGATAATTTCTGCAACTTGGAATTAATATAGTTCAAGTAACTTCTGACACACAAAAGAATTTAAATCTGAGCTAAACTTGTCAAACTACTTAAAATGTACAAAGGAATTTTAAACTCTTGACAAATCAACAGGTATTAAAGCCAAGGAAACACTGGTTGTTGACAGCTGTCAACAGTTAATAGTTCTCTTACTATTTAAATAGAAGTAATCTGTAATTTGAAAATTTCAGGACGAAGAATAAGAATGTCTTTTCAAAAATCTGAGGAAGAGTACTCCAGAAGCATAGTCAGTTGGTACTTCATGATCAGTGTTTCAGTATATCCCACCGCTCAGGAGCATGCCAGGAACCATTTCTAGAATGATGTATATTTTGCAGCAGTTAGTAAGACCTTGCTTTTTTTACTAAGCTTTTCCTGACTAGTTGCACTAACATCCATTCTGAATTACTGGTACCAACAACACATATTCTTTTAGAATCTGTAACTCAAAACTCAGGATGGCATCAAACTTCTCCAGAGCTCTTTCCTGCTATATGAGCCACTGGGTCACAAAATATTTTCATATTGTTTTATGTATGGGAAGAAGCAATACTCCCAGTATCATTATATGCCATGACAAACATATCTGCTAGACAGGGGTCCTAGGTAAGGTATTGAATTCAGTGTCCAAAAAATGAGCCACTAAACTGATGAATTTTGCTCATCTACTCTTGCCTTCTGGGATCCTTGACCAAGCATTTGGAGTTTACAAATAATATACAGATAATAGGGCAGGTATATTTGATTTTTATTAAGAGTCCTTTTGAGGTCCTTCATTCCTCAGGCACCCTTTATCTTCCTGGGACACGTCTCACACAATGTATGTTCCACTTTGTGCTCTTACAAGCTATGGCAGAACTTTCTTAAATATAGGGAATTTTGAAATATCTAGATACAGCTTTGTCCAGAGCAACCCTGTAGTGCCTCTTCCCCTAATACCTATATTACTGCTTTCCTCTCACCTCAACCTATCTCTTGGGAAAGGGACCCCAACAGCAGATAGTGTGGGATATTTGGAATGACAGGAGAAATGAAGAAAGTCTTCATCAGCAGGATTTCATTTCAGGCTAGCCTAGATTGACGGACTAGATTTCTGTAAGTAGAGATGGGAAGAAGACAGTTCAGACGGAGAAAAGAGAAAGTCAAGGCAGAGTGGGAGCTGAGAGGTAAAGAGGCAGCCGGTGTGAAGAAGATCATCAGATCATCAGCCCATCGTGCTATCACAGAGTACATAACACCCCAACTGCATGAGAGGCTTTGGTTGTTCTGTAATTGTTTTTCAAATCTGACAGCTAAGACTAGACTCACAAACTGAAGGTCATCGGCTAGTTAAATATTATGTTTTATATGTGAGCCTTGCAATGCTGAAAGAAAAGAAGACGAGAAGAATCTTAACCTCCAGATCATACCTATGATGCATCCGCTAAAACTTTCTTATGTGGTATTTAACCTTTTGTGTTGGTAGCATCCGATTTTAAACTCACACCAAATTTACTGACAACAACCACCTGGACATCTCTCCTCCCTGTCCCCCCACCCCACCCTACACACACACACACACACACACACACACACACACACACACACGCGTGCGCGCTAACAACTGCTGACCTACAATTTTAAGCTTCATACTTTTTCTGCCTTCAGATTTGATCTTTCCCTAGTGAATCACTTTTCATTTGTCTTGATTAAACCTCGCTCTATTGATTTCCGGTCTTTCTTCTGTTTCTCAGAAACTGGCTGGATATTAATCTGTTTTCTGTGAAATTAGCTATCCCTCCTGACACTGGAACGCTTGGTAAAAAATAAATAAATAAATAAATAAATAAATAAATAAATAAATCTAACAGCATTGAATAACGCCCATTTTAAAACTTTGAGAAATACATTTAATTCACATAGGAGGGAAAAAATCAGTACACGACCAAATCTTATTATTATGAATTAGTTTCTATGCTTTTGTTTCAGTAGAGCGAATTGCAAGAATTAAGAATCACTTGTGGGAAATGAAGCTTTATAGTATGCTTTCTTAGACCAGAGTTATGATTCTAACAAATGTCATATTACTTTTGATTGAATATTTTGTGAACTAAATATAGTATACATCTATTTATTTAATCTTTAGTATCCAAATATTGTAATTAACATTTAAGTTACAGAGTGCATGTCATACAGAGATGTATAATTTGAGCCTTGATAGAGTATCATCCATTTCTAATTCAGTCATTCAGCTCACCTATGACAGAGTCTTACTTCTCAGCCATACTGAAGAATGCTGGAGCGTGAGTAGTCAACAGTTGTTTTCTGTTCTTAGGGATCTGTGAGGAAGACAAATCATAGTATTAACCTCACTATTAACCACTATTAATGGTGTGTGAAACCATCACACACCATTCCCACAAGTAAGCTTCCTTTCATATAAATGTTTCCTATATATCCATCCCTTCCCAGCATGTCATCCCCTTCCCCACATCCTGCCTTTCTGTGTTTATAACCCCTGTGAAAATGAATTACAATTTGAGAAAAAATAAATAAATTAAAAAAAAAAACAAATATTATCTCCTTTCCTGGTTTCCCCTCTGCAAACTCCCTATCTCATCCCCTTTACCCTGCTTCTCTGAGGGTGCTTCTCCACCCACCCACTCCTGCCTAACCACCCTAGCATTCCTCTACATCGTATATCAAGCCTTCACAAGACCAAGGGCCTTCCCTCCTATTGATGCCAGATAAGGCCCCTTCAGTTCCTTAGTTCTTCCCCTAACTCCTCCATGGGGGTCCCTGTACTTAGTCTGATGGTAAGCTTCAAGCATCCACATCTGTACTGGTCATCTGGCAAAGCCTCTCAGGAGACAGCTGTATCAGGCTCCTATCAGCAAGCACTTCTTGGCATCTTCAATAGTGTCTAGGTTTGGTGCCTACATGTGAGATGGATCCCCAGGTAGGGAAGTCTCTGGATGGCCTTTTCTTCAGTCACTGCTCCACTCTTTGTCCCTGTATTTCCTTTAGACAGGAGCAATTCTGGGTTAAAATTTTGGAGATGAGTGGGTGGCCCCATCCCTCAACCAGGGGGTGACGCCTAACCACTGGATATGGTCTCTACAGGTTCTCCCTCCCCTTTGTGGGGTATTTCAGCTAATGTCATCCCCACGGTGTCCTGGGAGGCTCTTGCTTTCCTGGCATCTGAGACTTTTTAGTTGCTACCCTCAGTTCCTCATCTCCCATTGCTGCACACCTCTTTTCAATTTCCTGACCCTATGTACATCTCCTTCATCTCCTCCTATACCTGATTCTCCCCTCTTTCCCCCTGCAACTCCTCTCTTACTCCCAAGTCCCTCCTACCCTCTACTTTTGTTTATTATATTGTTCCCCTTCTGAGTAAGACTAAAACACCACTCTTTGGTCTTCCTTCCTCTTGAGCTTCATGTGGCCCGTGAGTTGTATCATGGGTATGCCATGTTCTTTGCCTAATATCTACTTATCAGTGAATACATACCATGTGTGTTCTTTTGTGACTGAGTTTCCTTACTCAGGATGATATTTTTTAGATCCATCCATTTGCCTAAGAATTTCATGAAGTCATTGTTTTTAATAGTGAGTAGTATTCCATTGTGTAAATGGACCACATTTTCTGTATCCATTCCTCTGTTGAGAGACATCTGAGTGCCTTCCAGATTCTGGCTATTTTAAATACGGCTGCTATGAACATAGTGGATCATGTGTCCTTGTTACATGTTGAACCATCTTCTGGGTATATGCAAACTGAATCCAAGAACACATCAAAATGATCATTCACCATGATCAAGTAGGTTTCATCCCAGGGATGCAGGGATGGTTCAATGTATGGAAATCTATCAACATAATCCACTATATAAACAAACTCGAATTAAAAAAACCACATGACCATTTCATTAGATGCTGAGAAAGCATTTGACAAAATTCAACATCCCTTCATGATAAAAGTCTTGGAAAGATCAGGAATTCAAAGCCCCTACCTAAACATAGTAAAAGCAATATACAGCAAACCAATAGCCAACATCAAACTAAATGGAGCAAAACTTGAACCAATCCCACTGAAATCAGGGACTACACAAGGTTGCCCACTCTCCCCCTACCTATTCTATATTGTACTTGAAGTTCTAGATAGAGCAATTAAACAACAAAAGGAGGTCAAAGAGATACAAATTGGCAAAGAAGAAGTCAAAATTTCACTATTTCCAAATGATATGATAGTATATTTAGTGACCCCAAAAATTTCACCAGAGAACTTCTAATCCTGATAAACAATTTCATCTAAGTGGCTGGATATAAAATAAACTCAAACAAATCAGTAGCCTTCCTATAAACAAAGGATAAACAGGCTGAGAAAGAAATTAGAGAAATAACACCCTTCACAATAGTCACAAATAATATAAAATATCTTGGTGTGACTATAACTAAATAAGTGAAAGAACTGTACATCAAGAACTTCAAGTCTCTGAAGAAAAAAATCAAAGAAGACCTCAGAAGATGGCTTTTGTTTTCTTAAACATGGCAAAATATCTTATGTGATGAGTCACCTGGACTGCTGGCATATCACTTGGTGGTACTGAATGCTGTGTCTCCCCACACCCCTTTCACTGGGCTATAAATTCTCTGAAGCTAAAGTCATGTTTGCTGGTCTTTGTTTCTAATTAGTACCAATGATGCCTAGTCATAAGCCTTTGGAACTATGTATGAATGATACAAATTACAACTAATTGTCACAAAGGGTATTATCAGTGGTATTATTCTTAGGTCTTTGCTACTCTCTTTCTTCAGGCTTCCTCCTCTATTACCACTGTAATGACATAAACTAAAACTACCAACACAGACCTAATTTTAAAACAAGCCTGAGGTACAATGCACTTCTTGAAAGAAGGGCATTCTATTCTACCTTTAAAAATACTTTGCAGACAAGTTTTCAAACTCAAGAAAGGCTTTAAATAGTAAACAACCTCTCACATCAACACTGAAGATACAGTGCTGAAGTTCAAATGGTTTCAGATTTAACACATTAGTGCAAATTAATCTTAGCAGTCAAATAAACTACAGCAAATTCCTCATGATCTGATGAAATTAAAAGTCAAGAAGGAAATAGATTTCTGAAGAAATACTACATGGACCCACAAATCTATTTCTTTGTCCTGCAATAAATGAAATAGATGGACAGAATTCTATATTTTCAAGCATTTTCTGTGAGTTTTCAAATGTACTCCGAGTTTCTCTAGTGCTAGCATGGCTCTTTTAATGTCTCATTTTCTTAGTCTCCTACTCTGCTTTTCCAAAGGTAATACCAAACACACTTAATCAGGCAGGTAAATCAGAATTCTCAAGTGTGTCCAGTTATAAGAAGGACTATTTTTGCTTCTGCACAATCAATAATACATTGAATTTAGACTTGAGGGAGGGAGTCTAGAAATTTGGGGTGAAAAGTCCCCACAAGACGATTTTTTAAAAAATACTTCTCTGCTAGTTTCTTTTCTGTTGCTGTGGTGAGACATCATGACAAAGGCAACATATAGAAAAGTTTATTTTAGGCTTAAGATTTCAGAAAGTTAAAGTTCATGATGATAAAGTAGAGGTAACAGGTATCAGGTGACTGGAGTAGCCACTGAAAGCTCATCTTCGAATAGTACAGGTCTTTTGAAACCTCAAAGACCAACCCCAGTAACATACCTCCTCCAACAAGGCCACACTCCCTAATCTGTCCCAAATGGTTTTACTGACTGGGGACCATAAATTCAAATATATGAGGCTAGGTGGGACATTCTTATCCAAACCACCACATCATCCACATTCAGAGATGCCTAAATTGATGCTAATGTATTTATTAACTGTTTTGTAATATTTAACTTGATTTAATTTAGAAAGAATTTACTACATGTTGATAAGATGCTTGTTATATAGTGACAATACGTGTAAAATTTCACCAAATATACATTTTATCCCCAGATTTTCAAACCCTAGCTTGGCATTCATGACCTCTAGGGTAGAGCTGCTATATATAACCAATTCAGAGAGTAAAAAGCAATCTATATAACATAAAAATTATATGAAAATGTGCTATTTAATATCCTTTTACACACCTTTATGTAATGAAGGCTAACACAGAAAACTAACAAACCTACAAGACAAGTTTACCCATTCATTAGGAGAGAGACTGGAAAGGAAGAAAATACTGAAGTCTTGTCCTTATTCTCATCAGTCCTGTTCCAACAACCACACATGCAGTAGGAAGAGCTATATGACCAGAGAAACCCCCAGAATTTCCCATGGAAAAGAACAGGCAAGTCAAAGAAGTATTAGAGTCAAGTCACACCTGAATATAACTTGAGCTCCAGATGACAGTAGCTAAGATATATCTTTCCCAGTGAGATTGACACTAATCAAGTTAATACACATCACTAACTCCCTCAACTTCAGGAATGGGAGACACATTAAAAGCAGAAATAGCTGGGGCTGAAGTCATAACTCCATCATAAAAAAATAAAACACAAAGGAATAACTTTGATTCATAGGAAATAAAAGGAAGGTACACCATCTCTTAAAATAATTTTTATAGAATTTAGTTCAGTTTCTTAAGTTACGGATGACTCTTGATATCTAACAAATATAATCTCCATTTCTATAAAGGAAAGATCCAGAAAGATGCTGAGACAGAGAACAGGCTTGGGGTCAGATTTAATGAAAGTGAGTCCTAAGTCTCAGCAAGAGCTCAGCTTTTATATTCATGAACCCTTCATTTTTTTAAACTACGAAGTGGGAATTATGTTTTAGGGTTAAATGAGGGGAAAAATAAAATTCCAAATCCATGTTGTGAACTCAGTAAGTGTTAACCCCTTTACTTCTTCAGATGATTTGAATCTTAATTTTTGTTTTGTTTGTTTTTTTAAATTTTTTTATTCACTTTAGATTCTGATCACAGACCCCCCTTCTAGTCCCACCTTTACAAATACCTCCCCACGTTTCTCTCTCCACTTTTCTTCAAAGAAAGGAAGCCCCCCACTTTGTGTACCACTCCAATCTGGGGCATCTAGTCCCAGTGGTACTAGGCATATCTTTTCCCACTGATGCCCAACCAGGGCAGTCCAGGTAGACGGAAGGGGATCCAATGGCAGGGAACAGAGACTGAAACATCCCCTGCTCCACTTGTTAGAAGACCCACATGAAAACCAAGCAGCATATTTGCTACAAATATGTAGGGGCTCTAGGTCCAGCTCCTGTGTGTTCCATGATTAGTGACCCAGGCCCTGTGAGCCCCCATATTCCTAGATTAGTTGACTTTTAGAGG